TACTTCATCAAAACAATATACTTCCAAAATCAGAAACAACAAAATGTTCACTTCAGGTACCAGAGTCTCCAAAACTAAAGCTTTCTTCCTAGTATATAAAATTATTTAATAATTGTACTTAGCCACACAGCTTACCTAATTTAATATTACACAAAAAATAAATACACCGTTCTGAACTGTAACTAACGTATGTATTTGGCACCTCCTATGTGCCTTCAGGATTTTAAGGAATTTTGGCCCTATTTAACATAAGAAACCCTAATAGCTAAAAGAATAATCTAATATTATTGTTAAATTAGTCGATATCAATTGCTACACAAAACTTCATTTGTACTTCAGAAGACAGAAAATAGAATTCTGCTTTCAAAGTACATCCTCTGGAGTACATAAAGCTTCATTGATAATTAATGGCTGCAAGGGTTGTAGTTAAATCTTTGGTCAGAGATCAAAGCCAACAAGTTTCAACAATATTTAATTGGGGTTGGCGGGGGGTGGGGTGGGGTGGGGTGTAAATGGGGAATCATTTCCAGCATATTTCATTCCCAGATTCCAAGAATTTTAACTAACAGACATGTTTAAGATTACAATTAGGAATTTGTTCTTTATATGAGGAATATTTGTTTGTTACAAATACTGTACAGACCTCACTGATTGAGTGTTCTATAAAATGCTTTTTAATTGCAAACATTTAAATTGTTTTTTCTAGTGTAGCCAGATAGAAGAGCAGTTCAGGTAAATTTAAAGATGAAAATGCCCTCCAAAACATTCCTTTAATGAACACTTCTGACAGCTTTAGTTCATTCAACCGACAGATTTCCTCTCCTTGGAAGAGATCTTATTTTACCACAAGAATCTCTTGCCTGCTACAAAAACAGTGTTTGTTTATTCAGTGCAGTCAGTGAAAGCTGTACTTTGCAGTAAACCCTAAGTAAAATCAGCTTCCACTCAACTTTTATATTAAATCATATATATTAGACATCTAAAAAGTGAGTCTTCCCCAATTTAAAGCTGCAGGATGGCGTTAACTAAACATTTACAAAATACACTGAGAAAGCTCAGATTGTACAGTGTGTCTGCTGAAAGGAAAGACTTAATTTTAAGTTGCCGATTTAAGATTACGAGGAGGGAAAGCACAGTGTCTCTTTTTCAGGTTAGTTCATACTCTGTAGAATAATTTACTACTTTCAAATGCTTGTAACTATCAGTTCTTAGCTTTTGGGTTGAATTTTCTAAGCAGGGTAAACGACTTAAGAAGTTCTATGTTTTCTCTCACACTTTTTCTAGAAAAGTTTTTCAAAAGAGGCTGTAGCATCCCTCATGCTTATTGCACTGGACATTCAGAAGCAGTTTGTCTGTGAAGGATATAGCTTTCACCATTCCTGTACTATCAGACCAAATTTAACCAAGCAGACCTTGAAAAACTTTAACTTGTACTAAACCTGAAACACGGTTTTCACATTCATTTTCAAAGTCTATGGCAAGCTTTATCACTGAAGTTGCTGAACATTCATCAGAGGAATACTTCAATAACCTGTTTTCAGCTTTTCTGTTTCTGGATATAATTCCTGAAAGACAGCTATAAGAAAATATTTCACAAGGTAGTACTGCTTAGTTAAATAAAAGTCTTACTTCTCAAGATACGGCTCAATTGTTTCATTGTGCAATCTCAAATTAATCTTAATGCCACGATAAGACTCCCTTTGAGAATGGGTTTTTGTTCTAAGGTGAACTATAACATTACATATACAGCTCCCATTTGTTTTGGCTACTACAGTTGACCAGGTGATGCAACAGTGATGACACATCCCACATCGCATAATGAGGACCTAATGCTGAACATTTTCATTGGTGTTACATGGCTCTTAGCACTCACATTTAAATTATTGAGTCCCCACTCACAACGTACTGCTCTCACTTGCATTTCTACAACTCTGGAATCACATCACACTTACTGCTGCAAGGAACTGAAAAAACATTCTTATTTCCTCCCCCTAGTTAAATGGGGAAGAACATCTTTATCTTGCCCACAGTGAGTGAACTGTGGTAATAAGAAAACAATCTGTACTTCTATGGCTCCATTCCCATTGCAAAGACTACACAAAAAGAGCATTTCAGCTTTATCTCACAATGCTAAAATGGTCATGAAAGACACTCCACACCCACCTTCGATATTTGATTGCATAAGGGTAAAGCTACTAACCTTTGAGGGGTAAAACATTCATCCTTGAAATCGCAGCTGAAATTCCTTTATATGCACACTTTCCCTATGCCCTTCCAAGCAGGGTCCTTCACGACCAGTGCCAGTATTTCTCCGGAGGGCATTTGCAATGACAAACGTAACTTTGTGGCAGGCTTTATTCTCTGCACTCTTCAAAAGAGCATTTTAGGGGAGCATGGCAACTGCAGGATCTCCGTAACAACAGTGAAGAAAGCCCCACCCCACCCCCTGCTTTTACTGTGAGAGGAAATGGATCTTATGATTAATCCCCCTCCTCGGCACATACCGTAATCACAATTCCGAACTGCCAGCTTTCAGGTAGACTTTTCTACACTTTTTAAACCAGGAGCAGCACTACTCCCGTATACAATTTTACGCCAGAAGTAACAGAAGGAAAAGAGCCTTTCAGGAATTATAACCTATAGCTGGTAAGCTTAAAACAGTAAGTAAAACAATCAACCTAAGTTACTTCTGTTCTATATGATTCTTACATTTGTAAAAATGCCTTGGGAGGGAAATTTTAGGAATAAGACTCCTGCAAATCTACTCAAGTCTTACTGGAGATTAAAGCTTTGATCAGATGAGAACAATTGGACACAACAGCCAATCTTCCAAGATAGATCCAGATTTATCACGACTGTAGTTTCAAGGCAATTTTGTTCTTTTTGCCACTTATTTAAAACTTACAAAATTAATTTTAGAGGGAGTGCACCAGTGGGCATTTGCTATTCCTTTGGAGAATTAAAAAAAGGCTTGAGTACATTCTTCATGTCATTAGCAAGAAATGGTATCATATGAAACCAGGTCACAACACATTCTTTAACTACAGCAGGTCACAGCAAAGAGCATTTCTTTCTTTCCAAGTAGAAAAGAAATATACATTTCACTTCAAACTATCAGGTCAAGCCCAAAGCTTACTCTAATACTAAAGTTAGACAAGAAGCTGCTACTGTATTGAGGAAAACATGTGTAACTGAACAAAACTTGAAACTTTCCAACATTTCACTTTTTTTTTTTTTAAATATACACTTGGATGTATCAAGGCAGTATTTTTAAAGTGTCAGACAAACACACCAATGCATAAAGGTTTCTCTGTATAGCAGTATAAGAAGACCCTAATGGCACGGGTTAGAGCATCACGAGATTTTTTTTAAATAATCTGACAGCAGGCTGGCTTGGGGTTTCTACGATCAGCAAGAAAACAACCTGTGCCTGGCTGCATGTTTCAAAAATTACGGCGTATAAGTAAAAAAGCGTCTGGAAAGCTAGAAACTGCATTTCAGAATCATATACAGTACGTATATACTATATGTGTACACATGACAGGAAAGCTACAAAATGACATGTTTAATCACATTGCATTATGCTTGGCTGCTTCTTTGCCCCTTTTAATTCAGGCTTATTTTTAATAGCTATGTCAACAAACAGGGTAGCATATCATAGTATGCCACACCAGCAATTTTCACACCTGCATTTCAGATAAAATAGGCTCATGCTCATTCTTCTATTCTAGGCACAAACATCTGAATACTTGAAAATACAGGAAATCAACAGCTGTTAAAATCACGTTGGAAGTGATGGATGTTTCCGGGGCAGATGTAACAGGGAAGTAAAAAATGAAGACGGAATGAAGAATTCTATAGGACTACTTGTCATTAAAATGATTATTAGCTCTCCACAGCACAGTAATTTTTTCTATTTAAGTATAAAGCAAGTAAAATTCATCTAATTTCACAAAACCTGAATATATGCATTTTAGAGGCATGATTCTAACATCACTGATGGCATTGTTGCTCATATCAAGCTATGAAGCAACTGGAATAATATTGTGACAGACACATAGATCACAGCCTAAAGACAACCATCAAGTTATTAATTTTGAAAAAGTTAATAGTCCAGCTGAGTAAGGAAATACCAAATTTCAGGAACAAAGGGGTTACAGTTTAATAAGCCTTAGTGACCACAGGAGGACATCTTGACCTTAGGTGTAAGAGCAACCCGTATCTACAAAAACACCAACTATTTTTTTCGGAAATGGAAAAAACTGGGTAAACATGTCCTTTATTTTATGTGACTACCAAAATCTTATGATATCAAAGAAAAGCTACATTCAAAGCTACATGCAAAGAAAAGCACACTGATCCCTTTAAACAAACTAAACTGAAACACATTAAGTAACACTAGATCAGCCTGGCAACAAACCCAATACATATTAAACACATTTGTCTAGTTTTCAGATACACAGGAATATAATTTACTCATAATTATTCCATAAAGCTGATTCAGTTATAACAACTCAGTTTCTCTTGTAACCTTAGAACAATTAAATGCAGCAATATCTCCAGATTTTACCATATTCCAAACCCTAAGATCTACACTTACTTATCTCAGAGGTTGGTGATTTATAGCTTCTCAGAAATTAAACGCCATCTTTACTGCAACAGTCAAGTATTTAGCTCTTTAAGAGTGCTAGCAGGCATAACAGTTTAAGTACTTCTCCAGAAGTCAATCAGTGTATCTATACAACAGATGGGAAAATAATTTCCTACGCAACTGAAACTATGTGAAACCTGAAGTGTTTGTGACATTTAATAGCTATTTTCTTTCCGAAACTAGTGAGGTTATTTTTTGCTGTATACAGAGTATCCAGAATCAACTAGTGGTTATAGATCCTTTACTGAAGTATTGAAATAGGTTCATGAATACTGAAAAGATGGTGTCAAATTGTGTAATCACTGGAGAAGTATGTTTGTCATTAGTGTTTCCCACCAGAAATACTTACCTAAATAGGGAATACAAGGAGTCATCTTCAAGCTGCTGATATAATCTCTAAGCCTTTTGTAATTATCTTCTTTACTCATAACGTACTCCAGCTTTTCAAAGGTGGCTTTATCCTTCCGACTCAATAACTAGGAGGGAAAAAAAAAAAAAGGCAAACCCAGATGAGGTTAAGTTTGATTATTACGATTTCTCTTTTAGCCATACAAGCATGGATTTCCACCCTCACCCTCCAATTGTTGTGGTTATTGGTTTGTTTTTTAAATACAAGTACTTCAAAATTACAGCATTTACTCCTTAAGGATGAATACTTGGAGAGTTCACAAAGAAAATTAGTTATTTTGGCTGTTAAATTTAAACTAGCCTTTTAAAAAATAAACCAGGTAAAACTTTGGCATCCTGGAGGATCCTTCTGAAATAATGTATGTTTTATCAAAACACTAATCTAGCTAACACACATCACAATTTAATGTGCTGTGCACATCTACAATATTTCCAACCAGTAGTTTATTCACTCCAATTATCCGCAAGTTAACATTTTTTTGTGAGATATGCTGAGAAGTTGCATACTAATCCAGTTTCACAAAAACCCAAATTCCAAAATACGTTCTTATTCCTGAATTGAGAGGTATCTCAACAAGTAATTTTCCAAAAAGCAAAACACCACCATTAAGATCTCATAAAAATCTTTAACTAAACTACAATTTTAAAAACAATATATGCAGATATACACACATCCATGTACTTGGAGATCTGGAAAAGAGTAAGGACTTCATTTTTCTTTACAGAAGGCATTATGGACTTGAATACAGGTTGTGTATGTTGTTCTGTCAACTAGCAATTTCATTGGCTCTTAATATTACAGGAATGTCCACTTCTAATACAAAACTTAGCAGTTATGGATCTCCTTCACTGTCCATTCCTCCTCTCCACCTCCCCAAAAGTCCCTTCCCTTAACAGAATTCACAGCAACCAGGATCTCTTTGTAAGATTGGGAAAGTAAGTTCTTTTTAAAACATCTAGCTGAACTACTTCTGCAAAACCACATTAAAGACTTCATTTCAATTCAGAGCCAGAATTTAAAGAAGGGTATAAGATGTTCCCACTGAACATTCTGTCAGAAGACTCAGTATTCCAGTCACAATTTTTCCCCTATAAGATACCTGGTAGTGCAAAAATTACAAGGGTCAGATCACTAAATGTTTATGCATATTCCCATGTCTCTTTCAGTGACGATAAACTTACGTGAACATGAGAGAAGTGTCCCTTCTGTAAAGCTGTAAATTCAGTATTGAAATAGCTGCTCTTTTTACTTACATTTCCTATATCCTAGTCTTCATTAGGATAGCTAACACAACATCAAACTAAATATTGGCTTTCAGAAGAAAGTAACTTTTTGATAGTAAATTGTTTCCCAAGACATGCTGATCTCTGACATTCCAGCAATTAATTTACATCCTTAGCTTTGGTTCCAATATTCGGATGAAAAGCATCTCAGGATCACTAAAACTGCAGACATCTGCCAATTCCAGGACAAGGAAACAGTAGACAGGCATGACTTCTTTCCAACCACCGGAACAGGACATTTATCTTTTGAAGTTTGTATTCTCAAAGATGGTTCCAGTTTAATCAGCCTAGATTAGCTTGCCTTGTAATAATATTCTAAAATATTTTGCCTCCATTTAGTGTCTGGAAGGCTTTTTATTAGTTTTGCAGACTGGAAGGTAAGACAAGACTAGCAGGCATAATAACAGACTAAATTTGGACTTTAAATGAATTGTATTTCCCTGAAAACATGCTGATTTGCACACTCTTGCTCGAGTCTGATATATTATTTCAGGCTCTTCAAATAATCTCTCAACAAGTTGATCCTGTATGACTTTCCCTTGTGCTCACGGTGAAATTCACATCATGTTTCCACTTTCTGCATTCATGTTGAAAAGCACAGAGAACCTGACAATATTAAAAGTGTTTCTGTGCGGCCAAGTAAGGACCCAACCATTATTTCTTCAGTTTTGGAGCTGCTTCTTTTTCCAAATAATTTTTTTCTTGTCTCTTAGGCTCAAAGGATGCAAGGAACAGCAAAGAGATGCACGTGCACAGACAACAAAAGCTAAGGCTGATAGTTTACAATAGCAGGGAAGGATTTGGAGCCTTCCAGACTGCTCTTTGCTTCCTAATTAGAGTGTGCCAGTACTGACGACCAGCTTTTGGAAATGTAAGGAAGGAGAGCTGAGGTATCAGGCAGGATTCGCTCACCTAACTTCAGACGCCTAATGATTATTTCCTTACATTGCCCAAGTCCTAGCTGGTCATCTAGACTTACTTTACATTAAATGGAGAGAAGTAGAATATTCTATTCTACTCTAAGTACTTTCTTAGAGAGTTTCGTAATTCTTTTAAAGTTTTGAATGAGGCAAATCACAGAATAGAAGCATTTATAATTCTCCAGAGTTCAGAGGGCGTGCAGACAATGAATGAGAGAAATTTCAGACATATTCAGACATACCGTCAGAAGACATGAATTTCGTCTTTTTTTAGGAACATTAGATTACCAAGCAAATATTTAACGGCCCCTTTCAACTCTAGATTCCATCCGTATAAGGTGACTCTTTTCTTTTAGGGAGTGAATATACTTGTGGATATTTTCCTGACTTAGTTCATAGCAACCCACAACCAAATAACCTCAGAAATTAAGAAATCCTTCCTTAATGAAGGTTTTGGAAGGTTACTGTTTAACTTACTCATATGACTTGTTGACTCAAATAACAGCTTGGTGTGCCTTTTCACGTCTTTTCTTGTCTTTAATATACACAAAGCCAAAGGCTTAGAATTACTTCAAGAATTTACAAACTGAACTTCCAAGAGAAAGACATCTAAATCAGTTTGCAGTGCACATTGCTAGGAGCTATCCTGCAACTTGAATTTGCGAAGGCTTATATAAGATGACAGCAGAGGTTCGCTTGGGATTGTATGAGAAATTAAACACCTGCAGAAATGTGGGAGAAGTTACCTGGCATTTCAGAGGTTGGAGGAGGGGCAAACTTGAAAAACTGATACATATGCCAACAGCACACAAATAATCCTCCTAAATGCAAACCAGGACCTCTGGTTGACCAAGCAGGAAAACAAACTGGGGACTCCCAGTTCCGAACAGCATAATTATGGTAGTAACAATATGGTTTTATTAATATATAGTTATAGTTGACATTTGTTTTGAGACACGAATCCCGCAAAATAAATCAATTTGGCATCACAGTTATGTAAAACTGTTGAGGCATCAATTCATCGACATAACAAAACAACATTATCATTCCGTTATCAAAGAAACAGTTTTTGTGACATGCGAGGAGGTGCTGACACGTCTTCAGTGAAAGTTTTTAGCCCTTTTTAACAATCTATTTATATGGATCCCTTGCACAGGAGTATTCAAGTCACCTGATGATTTCTATCACACTCGAAAGTGTCACAGTTCATTTGTTTATGCAGCTGGATAACTACACAATGTACGGCTCAATCAAGCACAGTATTTTCTTAGCCCTGAGGTATCAATGAGCAAAAGTCATTCCTAGTGTTCTTCTGATCAAGGATACAACTATGCAAAAATAATATTAATTCCCGTCAAAAAATAGACGTCAAATAAAAATGTTTCCAAACACCACCATTCTTTCATAAATGTACAAAAGCAGACCTACAAATATACTGTGTAATGCAGTTGTTGTAACTAGGAAAATAATTCTGAAAACTCTGAGGAAAATTGCTAGATTTCGTTATCAGTCAGAGAAACTACAAATCCCTCTACAGAAACTGAATCAAGAGTTTCTGGACATCTGCTCTCCGTGGAAAAAAAAAAAAATCCAACAGTATAAACCCCTAAACAATTAAAGTACAACCCCCTTTGGCATTCATAATTTTCCAGCAACTAAATACAAAATAGCTTCTGGCCAAATTAGAAGCCTCTGTGTTTAGAAAAATCTGCAGGGAACCATTTTTCAAAGGAAAATATTTCCATGCCAGAATGGAAAAAAAAATTCACCAGGAAACCATAGACTTAAGAAGCACTAGAAACATTAATACACAGTACAAGATTAAAAGTATCTGTAGTAATTACTGCACCCTTGAAAACAAGCTACAAAATGTTGTAATTTCCTAAGAATAGATTAAATCCCCTCCAATGTCCTGCTGCTCACTTACCGCCCACGTTTTAGTCAGCCTGAAGATTGGAGCACTCTGTAGGCCTGACACAACTGCCATAAGAGCATGCAGATTATTCAGCTCATACAGTTTCTGAGGACAAAAACATACAATAACAATAAACATCATTCCAAGTGCTGTCAAAAATGACTATAGAATAAATAACAACCTAAAAGTGAAGAAATCTTGCATGTTCTAAAAAGACGAGTTAGTTACAGTGAACTGCTGTACGCCCATACCACTTTTATGGCACCTCCTAATATTTTTCCTTACTACAGCTATACGGTTTTGGATTAGACTATACTGGCTGTTTCATAGTCCATAGAGAACCCTTAAAAAAAATAATCTATACAGGCATACATCTTGGAACATACATTAGAAGTGCCAGAATTTTTCTGACATTCAAACCCAACAAATTCCATTCATAGCATTCAACAGAATTTTAAAACTTAACAGGCTAAAAAAGGATAACTCAGTTGTGAATGATGTAATCAGTACTCAATATTGTAAATGAATTTGGCACCGCAAGTTTATGTAGCTACCACGGCTGCATCAAAGCCCCCCAAAATACTGTTGCAGGATGAAATCAAGCAGGTAAATTTCAAAAGCCGCTTACCTGGAGTACTTGTCTCACTGAAAGACAATTTGGGGGGTATGACAACTAAAACTAACTAGTGGAAAGGAACAATGAAATCAAAATTGAACAGGGAAAACATCAGGATAAAAGAATTTTCTTTAAAAGTCTCTACGAAATACTGCACGTAAGTGCATTTTCTTACATATTTGGAATTTCCCTCTCCTCTTTTTTTCTTTTCCTCTGTCTCCAAAACCATCAATCTGCCTTGGCCAATTGACTACTGGTACTACTGTCATGAAAGCTTAAAAATGATCCAAAAGAAAATGCTGTTCCTTAAGCCCTTCTGCAATATCGATTATTCTGATAGCTATGAGCACCCAGGGATTTTTGGTGGAGTGCACACAAACTGAGGTTTTACCCCTAACAAAAAGACTTCGATACAGAAATGGATGCTCAATCACATTATGCAAATCCTGTTTAACCTGTTTGGAAAATTCACCAAGGTAGGTTACTATTCTAGCTAGAAACAATACAATAATATAAGGATCTCTTCCTACTTGAGAAATGGTGGAAGTCTTTTTCCCCCCCTTGAAACTCAACTTACCCAAGTTTTCTTTATTAGGAGACCTTTCGTGAGATAATAGGACAAAAAAATTAGACTAACCTGATTCTGAATAAATGCTGAATATCAGAGGAGACCTTATATTTGGAAGGCCGAAAGCAATTCTGCAAGGATGGGTTTCTGGTGAATAGTTTTGGAGCAGGGCAAATTATAATCTCTCTACTTAACACACTGGCAGAAAACTAACAGTCTTTTATAGAACAGAGTCCTCATAGGCATTACTCAGAAATGCCATATTTAATGCTTACTTGTCAGGGCACCCTAGTAGCAATGTCACTCTGGGGACTCAGAACCCTACGATTCCGGCACGACTACTGATGAATGAGAGTCTGTCCACACCTACTGAAGAAGCGTTTCCCTCTCCTAATCCTCTTTTGGGAGGATTCTTTAGTAACTGTGTGTAAAGGGGAATCAATATTTTATGGGGTGAGGTGGTAGGGGGGGGATATTTGTCATATACTTGTATATATATTTGTCCTACTTTTCCTCCAAATAGTACTGCTGGTGCTTGTCTCCTCACCTACACAATAACCCTTCCCCCACGCCACACACACATCCCCAAACAGGGTAATAAAAGTTCACTGTGGCTAAGGACAGTGTAGCTGATTAAAAATGAAAAAAGGGCTTTCGTAGCTGCTGCCAGCATTGAAAGAGAAGTCATAACCAGACAGGATAATCTGGGAACTTCAGGGGAACGCGACTATTAATTCCAATTAGTTCATGCATAAAGCAATATAGTATGAGATGCCATTAAAGGACTGATAGCTATACTACAGAAAGATAGTTGTCAGCACAAAGAATACACTGTAGAGTGGATTTACAGTTTCTCTGAAGAAAAGTTAATTAGTGTGACCCCTGGCAACAAGCTGCTTTGATGGTGGCTTTGGTGTAAATAGAAAATCCTTCAAATGGTACTAACTGCAGTAACTTCATGTTAGCAGCCATATTTAAGGAAAACAGCAGATAATAGATACAGTAAGTAAATGAACAGATATAAGAGACGCCCCATGTATGGTTTCCTGGTTTTTGTAATTGTGATTTTTACAACTCATAGGTAAGCAAAGCTCAACTAATTGTTAGAGTACCTAACTGTCAAAACCCTGCAACATTTCAGCAGACCCTGCCCTCTGCAGTCCACTGATGAGATCAGGCATGTTCAGGGTGCTGTGCGCAAAGCAGAGCCTACAACACCCAGCACTGGCAAGTCCCATCCAAGTACTAACCAAACCTGACTCCACCTGGCTTCCAAGATCCATTCTGCATTAGGACCACACAGGTGAACCTCCTTGCCTCTATGGAGGGACATGGATTATGAGGCAAATTTTTGTATGTTTGGTTGTGTTTTTTTTTTTTAAAATACAAGAACTGATTTTTAAAAATACATGAGGTGAAGGTACATGAACTCAGACATCAAAGGATATTTAAGAGAGATCCTTAAAAGTTTGTGACCATAGCATGATTATTGAGCAAAGCCTGGGGAATCTTAGAAAATTAGCTTGCTTTGCTCAAAATTTATAGTCAAATCCTGTAGAAGTAAAATATTACTTCATTAAAAATGTGCATATCAAGACAAAGAATGCATTTGCAAAATTAATACCAAGGTATTTAACAAAAATTGTACATTTTTTTTGCAGGTAACCCGAGGAGGTCCTAGAAGTTAGCTGTAGTAACAGTCAGCCACTGTCTGACAGCAAAAATTTGAAAAACATTCGTCTCTCCACGCTACAATGAAGAAGTTTCATCCTGTTTGAAGGGCCAGGACTCTGGTTCATCTACATGTAAGTCAAGATTTGCTGACCCTTTTCTTATTAATGTTAGTTCTAAAGGTTTTCAGGAAGATATCACAGGATGAGAGCTCTAATTCTGAGTTCAAGTATAGTTTTGTAACAATATTTATTAAGTTGATATTATTTATGCCACAATTGGAACAAGAGATAACAGATCCTTTCCTTCCAATAATAAAAGCAAACAAACTACTACTGTTCCAACTGATGTTGTTTGAACTGATTCTACACACAGCATTTTGGTTTTTATAATTCACCAACTGTGTTTTCTATTATCTAATAAACAATATTTGAAATAAGGCATCTTTGCATTTCCTTAGTTAAGCTTTTTTTTTGGTAAACAAAGGCTTCCATTTCAGGACTTTGGTCTGTCAATATTTCTGACAATTTTGTTACATGCAGAAGCCAAACAGATACAACCACAGCTAATTCAGGTATCAGATAAATATTTACCCATGTGTATTTTTGAACTGACCAACTTAAGTATAAGAACTTCCATCATGGTGAATCCCCCCCACATACCCCAATCCAAATTCTTACCTTCGCAGTTTTAATATAGTGGCTCAAAACCTCAGCTCTTATTTTTAAAGTTTGTGCATGTAGAATCTCTCTAACAACCCAGAAGCTTACCTAAAAAGAAGAAAATTTGCCTTTTTAAAATACAGAGCTTCAACATTACACTTTTAATACTTTTATTTCATAAGTAATACATTAGAAGTCTCACAGCATTCAACTTCCATCTATAAAGTTGAATACATACTAGAAGATGCAAATGCTTATACTATAAAACCCCAACCAATATAACCCAGACACTAATAAACTTTTTTCAAAGTGTTTTGCTCTGTTATTCTGCTCATTCTTACCCAAGATACCTTCTACCATTACCTGGTCAAGCAGTTGCTTAAATCAAACTAATAAATCCAACTTATACTTAGAATTGAATCTTTTATCTTTCATAACTGGTAGCCATGCATTCCACTATTTTGTTGGAGAGCGCATGTTCTGGTGCCTGCTTTTCCCGGTAAGCGTGTGGGTGGGTAGAACTTGTCAGCGTAAAATCTGTCACATCAGTTAGTTGCGTACAAAGACATTGGGAACTGTTTTTCTGATGAGGAAAACCCTTCTGCTGCTAGTACACCTCAATAAACCTCAGCAGAATGAGTTATGCACAATCTATGCAAACAGACTTGTTTTCAGGCTAAGTTTGAACATGAGATCTCACAGCCACAAAGCAAAAGGCAAAACTCTCAAGCTTCAAACAATGTTCTCCCAAGAAAATAAAATCATGAAGAAATTTTATTAAGAGAGTCTACAAAATGAAGGAATAAAAAACCTAAAGTTGAATTATATCCTTTGATTTTGCTTTTCCACAGCTTCCGAGCTGCACTAGTCAACTTGCAGATGAGTTGAACAGCTTCAACTACAGTTCACTGACATTTCCAAATCCGCAACACCTCTGAATAAAAATAATAATCAGACTGATATCACCTGAACAAAACAGGAACATGAGGTAGGAAGCCTCTGCTATAACTTGGAGTTCATAGTTTGTACTCTTATTGCTGGCTATGCTGATTACCTGCTAATACACAGCATGCTACCGTATTTATCTGTTAAGGTTTATAGGAATAACTTCACTGTTGTAGAAAAATCACTGTTCTATTCAGTATGGTATGAAGGATGGATGCTGCATTTCGTAGTTACATGGATGCATCACAAAAGCTGTACTTAATAAAACATTCTTGAACAGGTCTAAATTCTAATCTTTTCTCCTCCCATGACCTCTGCCCTCATATACTTTAGCACGAAGCAGAATGATAGAAAATAAACGTCTTCATAACTGTAATGAAACAACAGCAAATAATTAGCAAATGGTAACAAATAACATAGCTTTTATTCATGTATTCACTACAAGTTAGGAAAAATGAACAATTAGCAAGATACAGCGTGACTGCCATTTACAAAGCTACTGAAAACAGTGTATGAAATGCATGCTTTCATACAAAAACATCTTTCAACCTGTGATGCTGCCTTGATTTTTAAGAGTGATGCTAAACCACTTATTGTAAACTAACACTGCGTACACATTCATGTTCCTGCCTAAATTTTCCAATTAAAAAAATGAAATATCCTGTTTATCCTGTTTCACTTTGTACATTATGACAGCGCTTTATACAGAACAGCATGAGAAGATCCGCACCTCCACAATTGCTACATTTTCAGTGAAGTTACAGTGATCTGATGAGAACTGGGATGTCAAAACACAAGAGTTCTTTGGAAGCAGAAAATGGAAGAATTACCAAAAAAACCCACCAAAAAACCCACAAACATCTTGCTTAATAACTGCTTTCCCTTGGTCTGTTTGTCTAAGGCTGTATTAGCTAGGAAAGAATTAGCCATGGAGCTTAGTTTTCTTTTTCCTTTCTTTTCTTTTTTCTTTTTTTTTTAAATGAAGTCTCTCCAGATAAATTGTTACCCTGACAAATATAAAAAAATGGTTCTGTGCAAACAGCATTACTATAAAATACATAAGTACTGAACACATAAATACTACAGTACAGTACTTCAAAATATTGTCAAAGAAAAGTTAAACCTGAGTTTGATGTGCTGCTGTAGGTACACAGCTTGAGAAAACCAACTTTTCCCTTGACTGCTGAACAAGTTTCTAAGGAGATACTTTCTCTTTGAAGATCAAGGCAATTTAAATTTTTAACATAGACTTTCGTATCATAAAGAATCAGGTAAAGACAACACACATATTACTATGGCTTAAAATCCCAAATCTCATCAGTCTCAAGTTAACAGAACATCGATGTAATAGGAGACTGCTTGCAGTAGGCCAGACTATGAAACACTTGCTCAAAATACAAAGCAATGCTCAATCATTTTCATAAGGATGAAAAAACAACCAATTTACTATGTTGGCCCTGACTTCTATGGAAGTTCATTAGTATCATAGTGACATAAGCACTGTGCCGCACAAGTACTCTTGTTTACTCAAGGAAGCCTGGTTTCCATCCCAGTCCCAGCCAGGCCCAGTTTCAACACTTCCAAGCTCTTGCAGGAAAAACAAACCAGAACAAAATGCAAAACTTTCTTCGAAGCTTAGAGCTATCCAGTCCTTTCATTGACAGAGTAAGCAGGAGATAAAGAATTAAACACACTTAACCATTTCCACTCCAACCACCTCCACTCCTCTTTGATGTGATTTTACTGGCATTGACATTGGGTTTGGGCTGGTCTTGTGTATTCACTGGTGTCTTTAGACAGCATTCATTCCAAATATTGAAAGATAAACAATTTAAATAAATCCTTTTGTTTCAATAGGCCACTTTATTTTATCCAGGTTCATTCTTCACAAAAATCACACATATTTGTTCCACACATATTTTGTGGTTATTTTGCTTCAAGTCCTCTCTCACTGCATTTAAATGTTACTATTTCTCACACTGTCCCACCAATATCAATCAGATAGACGACCCACAGCCTCTGGGCATCAATGCCTTTAATACCAGTTCAAGATAGCATTTAACCCTTGACCTTAATGGAAAGAATATAAATACACAAATATACGTCAACCTAGAAAAACATGCTTAACTTTTAAACGTATCTTTTCTTCAATCCCATGTTTGCCTTATCTGAAATACTTATTTTGTTGTACTGGTGCTTTTAACTTCATAGCTGTTGGTTCCAAAACTAATCGTGCTTTCTGTGCTAGTTAGTAGCTATGCAAATTCGAGACCTTCTCTTTAATAGAGTTTCTGGATAATTCTTCCAAATATCTGTTTAAAAACATTCTAATATGGTACACAAAAAGCATGTAATATAAAACAGACAGTACTGACCTTGCATTGTTACCGCTAAGGTAGGATTCCTGTCTTTTTTGTTCTGTATCCAAAGGAAGCATACTAACCTCTTCCCCACCCCATTTTCTAGTTTCTGATAGCCCTAGTAAAATTTTATTATCACACTTCACTGCAACTCAGCAACACTACAATATTCAAGACAAACTTCTCCTACATAACGTCTGCATTTTGTTAAAAAAAAACCAAAACCACCACCACCAAAACACACCAAAACCACAAAAAACACAAAAACCAAACAGCTTCACAGAGTTAATAAAACAAAAAACTTGCCTTTTTCAAGTGGGTTCCTTGGCTTTAAAATTGTTCCAATGTATTCAATCTAGTTGACAAGTTTCTTTAATATTTTAAGCTCTGTGGCAGCACAGTTCCACTTCCATTTAAATAAAAACCTCAAGAAAGAGGTTTTTAATACAGATACTCTTATAACCAGAAGAGCAAGTTACCTCTACATAAACCACGAAATGTTTTCATATCAATTTCTAACAGCAATCTTCAAAAAAAATACACTCCTCTTTGTTTGAAATTTATGATAGCCATTTGTTTTCAAAAGATAGAGAACAATGGTTTAGTAAGGAAGCAAAATTGACAATTTTACACTGGCAGATTTACCAGTTACAACAGTAGTAAGCAAGTATACAACTAACTTTTAGAGGAAAGCTGAAAAAGGCAGAGTTTTTAAAAAAATATGTAAAGAAATTACATACTTAAAACCAATACTTAATAGTAGATGTGTAGATCTATGGAGTACCCCGTAGCAATGTATTCTTCAAGAATAAAAGAAACCTGGCATGGAATGATTCAATTGATTTCCCTTCCCTGAACGTGATCTGTTTTTACAGGCACCACATATAATTATCACATAACTAATGCTGGAAATACACTACTTCATTCTCAGTGGACTGCAATTGACTACACATAATCATTACTGTTTCCAAAATACTATCAGCAGATCAATTTGCTGTGAAGCAGCTGTTAGTGATTTAATATTCTCTTTACTTATAAAGTGAGAGCTGTTCATGGTTTTCTTTTGGCACATTGGGGGGAAAAGGAAAGAGACAGATGCATAATGCATAATTTAAACCCAGTGAAATTTCAAAGGTTGACAAAAGTTTGATGAAATGTGTTCTTGCCTGATATAGTAAAAAGTGGCAATGGTTTTCCTGATTACTTACTTTGGGTCTAAGCATCAGAAACCGCCAGGTAAGTGGGGCACGTGCCCAACAGGAACTACACTCTGCTGAGCAAGCACCTACGGTAGAACTGAACGCCGAGACACAAATCAGACGAGGAAGATGAAAATTGCTTACTCCACCGTGCCTTCTTATTCCCAGCTGCCACTGTCTATCCCATAAGAATTCTTGGGTTTCACTGCTCCTGAAAGGATGGTGAATCTAAATATGATATTACTATTGGAATGAATGAGGCCTCCGCAATGACGCATTTGGAACCACAGGCCCACACCACATCAAAAATAATCCACGGTACTGTCTCAGTAAGTCAAAATTTGAGGTACTACCATGAACCTGTGACTGAAACAATACTTGCCCCTTTTCCCTCCCCTCTCCAGTCCCACTGTACTTCAAAGGTAAGACTGATGACTTTCCTTGGTACCAGAATAAAGGCTGATGCAAACTTCTCGGAAGAGAAAAATATATGTTCCCACAGCCACCAAAGCAGCATGCAGCAGTTTCCCAAAAAATCTGTTAGAAGCAAACTTACCCAGCATCTGAGTAGACATTAAATAGCTGGGCTTGTTTCCTCTTTATTACCTATTCTTTGACTCTTCAAGGCAGAGTTTCTCCTACAGGCTATATCAACATTTTTCAAATGACACTTTAAAGAGCGCAGAAACAAACAAGGGAAAAAAAGAAATAGGAAAGAAGACCGAGAAATGCCTTCACATTTTTTGGCTTTAAATGCAGTCCAAGAGACAGCCTAAGCACTGCAACATTCGAATGTGATGGTGCTGACAATGTGAAAAACAGAAAGAAAAGCTACTTGTCCTGTTCCAGGTGATTTAATGGTAAATTGCGATGGTTCCAAGTACTTACTGTCTGCCTGTTAAAAAAAAAAAAAAAAAAAAAAAGAGAGACCTTTTCCATTTCTTTGGAGATAATCAATGGAATAGAGCCTCAAACTGGCCTGTCTTGATTACGCTGATGACTCCACAAAACCCACTGACACATCAAAGACACACTCCAGATTTCACCACTGTTCTTGTCTCGGGGTGTCCCAAGGACAATTCATATTACTGGAAATGTATTTCTTTTAGACATTAAAAACCAGCAATAACAGGCATCTAAGAAAGGGAATCTTTTGTAGCAGCCAATGTAATGTTTGAAACCCAGTAGGGAAATGAAAGCCAGGGACAGATCCTGTCAGATGGAGGTCTTCGCTGGAGCTTAAAGACAACAGAAAACATGTTTTTCAAGATATTAGGAAGGCTCTTCAGAAAACATAAGCAAAGACAATCTTAGTGAAAGAACCTGTAAGCTGACAGAGGGGCACATCCAACTTTTATGGCTGAAGAGAAAGCACACAAGTGGAGTGAGGCTTAATTACAAATCTAAACCTTATGACAAGAAATTTTGCAGCTATATTTGTGTACGTATCACTATATGGAATAGCTGTACAATGAGAGTCAAAGAGAACTATAAACCACCTATCATGGCATCAGTCTCAACGCTATTACATTCTGTTTGTGTATTTGTTGCTCTTCTAGTATTCTCCCAAGATAAGCTACAGAAAGGGAGGGTTCATAAATAAGTCTTAGTCCCTTTCTGACTGCATCATTTCTAACAAGGCCTTCAGATGCAAAGCCAAAGGGAAGGGAGAGAAACAATACAAGAAATTCTATAGACAACTGCTCAAAGCCAGTCAGAGTGCTGCATTTTATTCAAGGTTCTCCTTTACCTTACTGAAAAAACTTACAACAGTAATGTAGGTCTTTTAGTCCATTGAAACATACTGAACAAGCTCAAAGACAATTGAGGCACTACAGACCTTTGAGAATCACCTAGTTTTATAGTTTCTTTCAGATTGACCTATCTTTCAATCAAAAATAACAGTTTTTGAAACAAATGAAGCATAGTAGAAAAAGGAAATTAAGACTGATGAAATAGCCAGTGACTATCAACAACTATCTAACATACACTCTGAGGTAATGAAAATATGTAAGGCTCCCTTTAGCAGCTAGCAATTCTTTGCAGGGAAACAGGACTATCAACTATTATGAATAAATGTATTACTAAAAGGCAAGTATTTCTAGCACCTTATTCTCCTTACTGCCTTTGTTGTATGCATATTGCCAGTTTTGTATGGATTTCTATAAAAACTAAGACTGAAGAAAATCAAGAATACCACCCATCAATTAGTAATGCAGTGAACAGATTTCATAAATGTTCCACAGAGCAAAATACAGAAACACCCTCTAAAAAATTAAAATCTGAAATGGTCAAAAAAACCCAAAAAGTCATTAGGATGAATAAGAAGGGGAGACTGAAGATAGGATTATAATAACAAACTAACAGGATTTTGTTGGCATAATGGAATTTCTGTATGTTAATCTAGAAATACTGTATCTAGTTTTCCAAACACTATTTATCAACAGAGTTAGCATTTTAGCTACATTTAAGGTCTTTAATAGCTACATTTAAAGTGAGCTGTAGAAGGCAAACCTCCTTCCCTCATTCCTTAAGATATTTTACAGGTTAAATATTTTTCAACAGCTGATCTGTAATGACAAACTGTCAGTTCGCAGACAGCTGACTGCTTATTCCCGTGATAAGGTTTCCCCTCCTTCCTTCTTCTTACTAAGCATATTTTACCAATTCTTTAATAAGTCTGAAGACTTTGTTTGGTCAATTTCTGCAGTTCTTTAGTACATTATACAATAACAAATAAGCCATGTCCTTCATGAGGTACACTGCCTAACATGGCCCTTACTATAAAAACATTTCAGAATACTCAGCAAAACAAAATGTTTCTTTGAAGAGATAACTTACATGAATAAATAAGACAGCAAATGTTGGGATCACTGGCACATCAGTGAGATTAGTGCAAAAAGTATTAGTGTAAAAGTAGCCTCAAGATGCATATGTAGTCCAATAAAGGAATGATTTCAAAAGCTAGATCAGGAAAATTTCAATGAAATGCAAAAAAAAAAAAAAAAAAAACAAAAACCACCCAAACACTCAAACCAAAAAAAACAAAACCAAAACCTCCCAACCCAAAGTCCCCAGGCTTTCAATAGATAGTACGGACACAAGGAGTTTGCAGTGTAACATTTTCTCTTCAGTCAAGAGGAGAATCAAGCAAGCGTCTAAAACCCTTGCCCAGACAAGCATTTCAATCATTAGAAAGTTAAGAAATATTGTGTTGTCAACGAGAAGTAACAGGATTTGGTCATACTCTGAATGTGAGCAATAATGGAAAGTGAGAAAGTACACAACAATTGATAGAAAAAAAACACCTGAAGAAATTAGGGGTTTGGTCTGAGTTTTAGATGATTAGCAAAGACGTCTGTAGATCTGAAACTGGGCACAGAAGATAGGTCTGGAATAGAGCTTGTAAGTTTGAGACATCATTAAACATTTACAAGAGAAGAGATGAGGGTCACAGAATTACTTCATCTGAAATACAAAATATGGCATTACATAAAAAAGCTTTACAGTTTTGGGACTTGGTTAGCTAACTACATAGCTGGAATCCTACAGCTTTAATTGTGGAGAAAGCTAAAATTCTGACCTTATTTTAAAAGTTGATTTTACACAGAGAAATTTTTAAGGAAGAAAGCCATAAATCTCAAATACACCACCTCAAAAATTATGCCAACTACAGAGTTAAAGAACAAGTTTTGTACAGTAAAATTGTTTAGAATTGTTAAAGTTTGCCCAGAACCACTTTAGAAAGGTAACCATATCAACAAAAGATTGCTATTTCTAGGGACAAAAACATCTATGAGGAGCAAAAGACACTCAACTAACACAGAGAGAAGTTACATCTAATTACTACTCCAGAAATCCTGTATGGTAATAAGCCTTTAACCTGTAATGATGATTCAGTCTTTATGTAAAGGACAGCCAGCATTTATGGGAAGAAAAGAAAAATAAAGAAAATATCACTTAATATTTTCCTGTTTCATCAATAACTGCTATTTAAAACACACACATAGCTACTTCTTCAGTACTGTTTTGGTCTTTCTGTATATCCTGAAGATGAAGAACTCCTTATAGCAGATACTTTAAGGTTTCAAGTAATCAGCTGTGAGCAGTAACGAAAGTGATGTGCCAGAACACTTAATTCCCCAGACTTTTAAAATGTGTATATGTAATGACACTGGAAAAAATAACTCACGTGATTGAATCTTCTGGTGAAAGCAACAGCATTTGGTGCAGAACTGTATTTCTCTTTTTTATTCCAGCCACAGCTTGCCAGCTCCTGGAAGAACAAGGATGAAATTTCATTTTTTTTTTTTTTTAAATTAGCGCGTAACACATGTCTAGAGCCAAGAGCATATAGAGAGACAAATCTTAGTCTCAAAATAACTAAACAGAGCAATAATACATTGAAGTAATAAATATATAGTTACACTTTTTCAGAGTTCTTGTGTAAATTGAGATTTCACAAGTGTTATTTCTGAATTGTTTTGAATGATTAGATTTTTTACAATTAATCTTTTGTTGAGTTGTGGACTTTTTTTTTTCAGAATCAAGGTCTTATTAGAAACCAGTCAAATAATTCAAGATCCATACTGTTACCACAGAAAATCCTGCTTTAAATGTTAATGTGAGCTAGGGATAGCAGCATATTCTTTTGTTTTTAATTGCTTTCTAAAGATATTTAAAGAAGAAGACACACCTTGTTGACTCAATCTAGCCATGTTGCATTATTTCAACTTGACATGTTGCATTAAAATTGTCGTCTGTTGCAGCAACAATAAAAGAAATACTACTTCCAGTTTTCCCTTCTAAAGGAACCAATTTTATTTTAAGTTGAACAACACTCATCACTTAAGCTTCTAGTTTGGTGGTATAAAAGGGAACAAGGGGACTTGCTTAAAAAAATAAAAAAAATAAACACGTAGTCCCTGTACTTAATTCCCCCTAAAAACTGTAGACCTCAACAATAACAAATTACTTGTAAAGCCTGAAAAAGCATTACTTTATAACTACAAAGTTACAATGTCTCTTACTTGTCTGTAAAACTTACTCAGCAGTTGGGAAACTACATTAACTTCCTCGGTATTTACTATCACTTAATTTCATTAAAGCAGCTTTAATTGCAATCATAAAAAACTAAGTGTACCAATGAGCTCTTCTATTCAAATACAACAGCACACAGAATAGATGCAAATATATACAGCATACAGCACACCGCCTACTCCACAGTACTCGCAAGATAATCAATACAGACAGCTTAATTATTCAAGTGGCCTAAGACCAAAGTACAGCCTTTTGTTTTTACTTATTCATGCTTTCTTTCCACATCTTCCCCTCTGAAGCATTGTCAGTTTTATCACCATCTTGAAAACTGCTTACTGAAACCAGCACAGACTCACAGAATCATAGAATGGTTTAGGTTGGAAGGGACCTTGAAGACCATTGAGTTCCAATCCCTCTGCCATAGGCAGGGACACCTCCCACTAGACCATAGAATTGTTGAGGTTGGAAGGGACCTTTAAGATCTCCAAGTCCAACCATTAACCTACCCTGACAAAACCACTTCTAAATCATGTCCACAAGTACCACATCTACCCTTTTTTAAAACACCACCTGGGATGGTAAATCCACCACCTCCAGTCTATTCCAATGTTTGATAAACCTTTTGGTGAAAAAAAATTTTCCTAATATCCAATCTAAACCACACCTGGCATAACTTGAAGCCATTTCCTCTCGTCCTATCACTTCTCACCAGGGAGAAGAGGTCAGCCCCCACCTCTCTACAACCTCCTTTCAGGTAGTTGTAGAGAGTGGTAAGGTCTCCCCTCAGCCTCCTCTTCTCCAGGCTAAACAACCCCAGTTCCCTCAGTCATTCCTCATAAGACTTGTCCTCCAGACCCCTCACCAGCTTCATTGCCCTCCTCTGGACACGCTCCAACACCTCAATGTCCTTCTTGTAGCAATGGGCCCAAAACTGAACACAGTACTACTCTAGGTGGGGCCTCACCAGTGCCAAGTACAGGGGGACGATCACCTCCCTAGTCCTGCTCACCAGACTATACCTGATACAGGCCAGGATGCCGTTGGCCTTCTTGGCCACCTGGGCACACTGCTGGCTCATATTCAGCCAGCTGTCCACCAACACTCCCAAGTCCTTTACTGCCGGGCAGCTTTTGAGCCGCTCCACCCCAAGCCTCCAGCACTGCATGGGGTTGTTGTGATCCAAGTCCAGTACCCGGTACTTGGCCTTGTTGAACCTCCTACCATTGGCCTCCGCCCATTGGTCCAGCCTATCCAGATCCCTCTGTAGAGCCATCCTACCCTCAGCCAGATTAACACGCCCGCTTAGCTTAGTGTCATTTGTGATCTTACTGAGGGTGCATTCAATCCACTCGTCCAGGTCATTGATAAAAATATTAAAGAGAACCGGCCCCAGCAGAGTCCTGGGGAACACCACTTGTGACTGGATGCCAACTGGATTTAACTCCATTCACCACCATGACCAGGTTGCTCAAAGCCCCATCCAGCCTGGCCTTAAACACCTCCAGGGGTGGAGCTTCCACAACTCCTCTGGGCAGCCTGTTCCAGTGCCTCACCACCCTCAAAGTGAAAAATTTCTTCCTAATATCCGTTCTAAATCTACCTTCTTCCAGTTTGAAGCCATTCTCCCTCCTATCACTACATGCCCTAGTGAAAAGTCCTTCCCCAGCTTTCCAGCTACCGTATAATGTAGATAAGATGATTCAACATGTAACCAATAATTGTGCCATTTAAGGTAGTCATAGTTTAACAGAATTTTATATCTGGATATTCTAAATTCTAAAGTTGTGTTTTGGTTTGGTTTTTTAATCCAGAACTTCTTAACATCTTTTCAACCAATGTCCCAAAACTACTAAAGAGTCTCACGCCAGTCAAGAGAGACCTTGAACTCTTCCACTTGTTCAAGTTTGTGATGTGCTGGTATTTATTACAGAACACTCAGAGATGGTCCTGTCCACAAGCACTGGGAAGAATGCAGGGTCTCTAGCTTTGTATTTAGGGCCATTCCTTCAAATTTCACTAGAAAGTTCTGCCACCAAAACCTATCAGGGAAAATGCTGCATGTTCACCACAGGAATGCATGTGCCCATTTCCATATATCTGCACTTCAATGACTATGAACAAGACAACCACAAAGCTCCAAGTTGCTCCTGTTGCAAAGAGTAGGCCATTGGAGAAGGAGTCCAAGAGACTCTTGTTTACATTCTCTACCCCCAACATCTCGCAGTGCTGCAGTTTCCATTAGAATAATAATTACAGCTCTGCACTTGGGATAATACAAGGTGATTCATCCCTACTGGCATCTGATAATTACAGTTTCCCCGTCCTTCCTAAAGAGCCTGTATCCTTCCATTCCAATACTCCAGACATAGGAGCCATCCCACCGTGTCTCTGTGATGCCAATAAGATCACAGCCCTGCAGTCAGGCACATGTCTCTAACTCTTATTTATTCCCCATGCTACATGTGTTTGCATGGAGGTGTTTAAATTGGGCCCCCCATGAAGCTGACTTACTGGCTGGAGTGCCTGGAATTCCTTTGTGCTGCACTCTACGGAAAAAGAGGGCGGAAAAGATGATGAACTCAGACTACAGGAGGTAGGAGGCAGAAGTTGTTGTCAACTGGAGACAGAGTACAAAGACTAGATCATAACAGATTTAGTGTTAAGATAATTTGAAAATACATGCGTACAGCAAAGAGAGGATAGGTATGGGACTGAGATGCTTCCAGAGTATACGGGGTCCCAAATAAAATGTCAGGGCCAAAGGCACATCCTCTCCTACACGTGCCTGAAGCTCAGCACAGAAGTAACAGACAAAACAGTCCTGATAACTGCTAGCGGCAACAAAATTGAGAGTCCTTTAGCTCTATCCACGTTCCTGAGTGAAAGTATATAGCATTGGATACTGCAAAGCAAAAGATCCTGCTCCTGACTAGAAAAGTACACATCAAAATCCTTTTACAGAGGTGCCAAGGCACAGCTATGAAGACCCTCAGGACCTGTGCTATGAATTCAGATTCTCCAACAGCTTAACCCAACAACTACACCACTGTTTAGGGACAGACACAGGAGAGGTACAGACTCCGCAGAGTTCACAAAACCTTTTCCCCCCCTCCCTTTAGTTAGTGTAAGAAATATAAAGAAGGTGCACATAGCAAATACATATGTATATTTGTTACTTCAACTTGAACCTTTTCTTCTAGCTCCTGCACATAGCTTCTCCATCTCACTTGCAAGACCTCTCTCCCCTATACAGCCAGCTTTACTCTCTCTTGACTCTAAACTAAAAGTAGTTTCCCTTTGCTGCCTGTCCACAGTTTCTCAGCATTATTACCTGATCAGTCTGCTTCAGGGGACACTGTTGTTCACAACCCTCTTCCCCCTTGCTAGAACCTGCTTGCCTAAAATCATTGCCCTTGACACTGCTCATCCCACCACCCTAAGATGCCACCAACAGAAGAGGATCCACCAAGGTTTTGCCTTCACTGCATTTGGTCTGGGAAAAGTATAACGCAACCCTAACGTGCATGGACCTGACTCTGCACACACTACTGCAATAAAGCATACTAATTTGCTGAATTGGAATTCAAAAACCATTCTTATACTTCTATAAAAATACTCACTTCGCCAATTAAAGATACCATGCCTCCTATACCATTACCCTAATTAAGATATGTTTCTTTGATCTTCCTCTAGAACTGCACTTCTTCTGCCATGAGTTTTAAACCTGAATTATTAACAAGGATTATTTCCTTAGTCTGCCAGTCAACGGAAGCACAGGAGCTACATTACTACAACTACCAATTTCTTATTTTGTGTAATTTATTTAAAATGAGGTGTAAGATTGATAGACTTATAATCAAGAATACAAAAGCTAAACTTTCTTCGTAACTCATTTTGGTTTTCCATAGAATTTTACTTTCTTTAACAAAATACTACAGGAGTACTTAAATTATAACCTGTACTACACGGCAGAAGGAGAGACTGTACTTCTCATTAAAATCTTCATATACAGGTCAAAGTGAAAGTTTCAAAAATAGGAGGAGATAAAAAGCAAAGATTAATAGTGGAACCATTATACAACTTCAGAACAAGTAAAGATGAATATTCAATACACAATTATTTTTTTTTTTTCGCTGCCTAGCCTAATGAAACAGAGGGGATGAAGTTCAAGGCAATAACCCAGAAAGATTTTTCAATGTGAGTACATATGGGTAAAGAATTTTGGAGAATGTATTAAAATATGTAGAATAACTAATCAGATTTTCCAATAAAAGCAAGTTAATGTGTTCTGCAAGGGGACATCTGGCAGTTGGTTAATGTTAACATAGCTACCAGGAGCACAAATTAGCAAGTCTACGACTACCTTTCTGTTTTATAGTCACCACTCTTTAGAAAGCCACAGCCACTACAGGAAAAAGAAAACAAAAAACCAACACACCACTTGTCATTCATGGGCAACAGATGGAAATCATATGATTGACTTAGGGAACTCCATCTTTTTTGTTTCCCAAAAATGAAAATGCACGTTGGCTACTTTCATACATACAGAAGTTTATGCAGCAGAGTGTGTTCTTTATTATCTTCATTTCTTATACTGCACCCCCCAATTACTAATTAACAAAGAAACAGCAATTCCTTCTACTTTCTTTCCTCAGAAGTAACTTGCAGGCACTTTTAACGATGAAGAAATGTGGTTTCCAGTATCACTTGGAGTGATACAGTCTGCTTAAAGCTCAGGCAGAGGATCATGTCACTATAAACTGTCTAAGCCATGGTAACTGTTCAAGTCCATGCTTCTGGCTCACCCTAAATGTGAAGTGATCCACTGTACCTTAATCCTGAGTTATGTGGGCTACACTAAGCTCCCTGTCTGACTTTTCCTGAACATGACACAGGAAGCTGTAGTGGGTAATGTGTAGGAACTCTAGAACACACTGTAGTAAATTTGAATACAGCCACAAAGAGTTACTTTTTTTTTTTTTGCTACAGATAGAGGCAAAAGTCTGTAGAAGTATACAAGTGTGTACTATGAGTACATTCATTGATTTTGAAGCTAAAGGAAAATTTACTAGATATCACTGTAAAAAGTGTTATTCAGTTGTTTTTTGTTAAGATAAACAAGATGAAATTCTGATGTTGCTTTTAAAAAAACCTCAAACCTGCAATACTTTAGGAAAAGATTTTAACACAATGAAGATGATGCAACACAATAATTTAGATAGTCAAGCAACACTATCATATTTAAAGAATACTGCTTACACTTGCTAAGATGGAGGAAATTCATCTCCAGTTCTTTTAAAAATTAAGCATCTTGGAATAAATCTTTCAGAACCCTCTTTGCAAGAAAACATGCAAACGCATTAAATGCTAAAAATATTCATTCATGTTTTGTTCTACAGAGTTTGGAAAGCAAATTGAGATTCATGCCCTGTATAACAAAGATTTGTTAGTAAGTTACAACGATCTATAACACCCAGTTTTTATATCTTGGCACACTGGGAAAGATTTTGTTCATCTCCCACAATGCATATGGATGAGAGCTGTGGAATTTCATTCTAAAGAGAATACCTCCTAACACTGATATTAAAAAACCCAAAATTCTATCAACACCTTTTAGTTCTCATAAAAGGGCTTCTAAACTGCAGCTTTAACACAGGTTAAATCAGCTCAACATTGTTTTGTTTTCTAATTACAAATTCAACAATGTTTGAGTACACACATCAAGATATATGTAAAGATATGTAAAGACCTGAGAGTTAATCTGCATGCCCCTTTTCCATAGGGGATTAACACAATTTAGAGGCACATTAGATACAAAATGACAGACCTCTGCCTCCCTGTGAAGGAGCACTGGTGGACAGACAATACTTCCATGCTGTCAGTGCCTTCAACTGCTTTTGTGCAAACACTTGAGAAGTGTTAAAACAGCTACCTTTCCTTACATGGATATTTTCCAGTGAAAGCATCATGTGAATTTTTCTTATGCTCTACACACTGATTTCTTAAAAGGCATTACTTTCTAGATATATTCACCTACTCTCCCACAGTTTTTCTTTTAAATAAGTTCCATTATTTTATTCTGCTTTCTTCCTTTATAGTTTCCAGTAAGTTAGAAAAAACAGCAAAATTAGATGTGCCTTCTTGACATTTCTTCTCAGCTCCCAGAGACCTTCTGTAGGTCTGCTCAAGCAACAATTTGAGATACAGGAGGCAGCATTAAAAAGGCAAAAAATTATGAGGTATGGAGTATCGGATCACTGTCACTAGATGTAACTTGCTGGCTTCCTTATGGTTGTTACACAATTGACTGCTCATCCTGTGCAGTGCTGAAAGCAGATTGCAAAGAATAAACCACCATCAAGCTCAAACAGTGGAATTTCTTTATCAGCAGATCATTAGGAAAAGTCCTAACTAGTTAAATTGGTGGCTTGATTTTTTGTTATCCAGTTCTTTGAAGCTCAGTGTAACTAGAGACCAGGCACTGTGTAAAAGCAACCAGAGCTGATTCAACTTCAGTGTGAACACTATATAGCAATAATGCTTAACATTAGAAAGTGTGCACAAACACACACAAGGAAACTACTTAAAAGATTCAGATAAAAGGGTAAAATGCTTTACAGTTTTCGGAAAAAACTTCTTTTAAAAAACAGAGATCCCCTATTAGAAGATCAGGAAAAACATATTCTGCCAATTAAAAAGACTCTAAGGACACCCAGAAAAAAAAAAAAAAGCTGGAGAGATCAAATGAGAGGTTCTTCGAAGGATTAAAAACAAACACCAACCAACAACAAAACAGACAAAAACCCAACAACCCACCCACCCCCACCCCCCCCAAACCACATGGGTTGGGAAATAGCTTGCTGAAATCACTAAAGTTAAATCATGACGTTTTCAAGTACAGATCAAAAGAAAGCCTTCAAAAAAATTTGTGGGTACACAAATGATCAAATCAATAGTCACAACCAAGAGATTCAGCAGGTTTCTCCACTTGAAGCAAAATATTCTTCAGCATGTCACAAGAGTGACATGACAAAAGCCTGCTACCAATAAGATAGCTTATGATAGTCTAAAGGTGACTGATGAGCTGAAAAATATCTCCACCCTAGTGATAAAGTGGATGATAAACTGAAAAATAAACCTTCAAAAGCACAAAACAATGCCCATAGGGAAATACTAATCACAGAGAAATAAGGATAAACAAATTCATCATTTATTAGAGTCACTGTGAAGATTCTGAAAACATCAGTTCAAGTCAGGCTGCAATCACAAAGGAATATGGCATTATATAAAACCAAAACAGAGAACACAAATCATCAATATATCCACAATCACACCCATCTTGAATACAAGATGCCATTATAGCCATTTTTCTTTTTCAAAAAAAAAAAAAAAAAAAAAAAAAAAAAGGTTATGAACCAGTTAGGGAAACACAGAACAGGATGAGGTATTGCATGAGGTATCAGGAGCCAAAAGCTAAAACATTATGATCAGAATAGTCAAATCATGACGTTTATCATTCAGGAACATTAAAACCTAGATACTTCAACTCTAGCACCAGCTGAACGTATTTAAATACCAACACTTCATTCCCCAAACAAACTATGAGTTCCAGATATTTTTGTGTTATAAAACCTTCTGCTTCAGAGCTATATGAATTGGTAGAAAAATTAAGATTTATTGACATACTTACACTTTGCAATTCCAGAATTTATACACTGGCAAAACTTTTTTCATTTAAATTTGAAACCAAAACCAATGAACTACTTACTTCTGGCTGAATTGCTTTAAATACAGGGACATCCATTAGCGTTATCTGACCCTGAAACAAACAAAAAAAAAGTTCAGCTCAATATTAGCCTTGCATTCCATTAAGTTGCTGTGCTGCATGAGAACGGTACTTGCTCTGTTTCCTTTTATTATTTGAGTTTCATTTTGTAGCTAATTTCAGAGGTTTCGGCTCCTACCACAGAGCCGTCCTGAAAAACCAGAGCATAAAGTGCTCCAAACTTTACATTTAATAAAATAAAGAAGTTATGAGAAATTATTCTCAGGAGCATAATCCTGCAGTTATATATGCAAGTCTGAGGTTGAACTCAGAAACGCTATAGAAGAAGCTATCCAAGAATACAATGAACTAACTTTAGTTGCTCAAGGGCAGTTTCTCTTCAAACTGAATCTTAGTCTAGATGTTACTCAATTCTACTGAAAAATCCCTAAAATTCTTTAATCAATACTTGGACCATATCTGAATAACTAAGTTAAGTAATTGTTCAGTTATGCAGCAACAGTTAAAATTAAATACAGCCATCTCACTTCCAGCAAGTCAGAACCAGTAAGTACATTTTCATTCTGGGATGTCTGCTTAGCTTTCAAAGGGGTAAAGGGGAACTCACAGAGTCAACAACCAGGTTTTGCATTTTGAAACATTTTCACTGAGCCTTATTTTAAGCATACAATTGAGGATTGCTTTCTGCCTATGTATCCAAAAGAAAGAGACTATCTCTTTCAAAGAGTACGTAGGTAGCCCAGAAATGCCACTGCCATCTGAGTTAGATACTGCAAATACCCTTTTAACAATTAATTCAGAGATCTTGTTCAGTTTCCTCAGATGTGAGCTGCACAGCTTTATTCTCACTTCCTTGAAAACGGCAGTTCCCCAATTTATACACTCTGCGGTACACACTGACAGCTTTGTGACTCTCACAAATTGCAGTTTCCATTGAATGCCATTGTTGGATAGCAGAATAGCTTCTCAGATAAAGTCAACCTTGCAGAAAAATTCTAACTAGGATGCTCTAGTTGAAAGAAAGCAGGTGCAAAGAGATGCACCTGCTCTAATGACAATACCTGGTCTAATGAGATGAGAAGTGATGTGTTTTGCCAGACAACCAAATCTACATTTTTGTAGCAGATCTCCTTGACCTCTAAACCTAGTTTTAGGTATGAATTCTAGCAATTAAACATGACCATAAAAAATTTATATAAATCAGTCCCAGTTTCTGTAACTGACACACCACTGGACACAATCATCTGGTATTCTGCAGTGCAACACCACGAAAGTAACATGCCCTTTATGAGTTTCAATTTTACAAACTTTCTTGCCTGGCCTCTGGTTTAGTTGGCTTTAAAGCTGTATTAGATTTTTCTAGTCTTGGGCTAAAGTGACATTAAATCAGATCAATTAAATAAATCCACATGTTCAACTACAAATAAGAAGATTTACACTCAGAAATGTACGTCTGAACACCTTTGTAACAGTAAACCCTGCACAAACTTTTACACATACAAGACATTCTTGGTCCTCTAACATAAACAACACTTGCATGTGATATGAGGCCTATGATTTGCACCCGCCATTCATTAATACCCATAAGCTATTTAACTGCCAACTTAAAAATTAATCTCCCAACTGCCGTTTTTAAATGTGATTTAACAATCAAGTGATCAGCTGCAGCATCTATCTCGACAGCACAAATTATACTGTACCTTTAAAGTTCAGATGAAGTCAAGGACATCAGACAGACATACCCCCTTCCCCCACAATTTGTTTTAAGCAGCAGCAATTAGTAATAAAAGAAAGTCAGGGATATAGTATGCCAAACAACTTTTGCCTTCAATATAACTTCTGTATTCCCTTGCACCCATAGCAACTACAGTAAAATATATATAATAAACTTCTGCCAAAAACAAAAGACACCTTTCAAACTGAAAGCAACCTTGCTAACTGAAACCATTCTATTCTTTTATTATGAGGCCTATGAAAAAATTACTCTTGAAGGAATCAAAACGGTTTCTTTTCCTTAAATTAAAGACTCTCTCAGCTTTTTTGTTTGTTTTGTTTTTTTAAGACCATCAAGGTCAGAAATGCAGAAATCTTCACACAAAGCCTTTTTTCAAGCCAGGTAGTTTTATCTTGCCACAAAAAGTACCGACAGCAACAACTCACTCCTGGCAATGGAAGTGGACAAATTTGTGAAAGTGCCCCCAGACAACACAAACTATTCCAACAGCGGTTAATAAAACTTTCCTTTGGAAGGATTCTGAACGCATGCATAGACAATGCTGGTAATTTTTTGTGCTATTTCCCACTTTTCCCTAACCCTGAGCAGGTTACCTTGGAAACGACAAGGACCCTTGAACAGTGACAGGAATAGTTCCTTGCCAAAAGCCACAACATGCTTGACAATGCTCTGCTATAGGTGAAGGGTACAGCTAGAACTTTACATTGCACACAGAAGAGCATCAGAAACTTCTAAACTTGTCATAGATGTCATTCTGGGTGAGGTTATGCTGTATCTGGGTAAGCAAATACAGCTTCATCTTGACAATTTAATAGTATGCCCTCTTATTTATCTACGTATAAGGCTCTTTTGAGGAAACAGATAGGCAAGGCATGTCTTTACTGGGGCAGGGAAAGACATCCAACAAGTAGGGGGAACAAGATTTTTCTCCACAAGCATGATATTTAAGAAGGGGGCAGGGAAAACCTGGCTAACTAATTTCTAGAGTTAAAATGGACTTGAAGCTAATAATCAAGATGTGTTCAGAGAACACTTATCCTAAAAGGAGTAGAGGCACAAGTTTGCTTATTTCTAAATCTTGCTTAAAAGCGTAAGATGATAAATTGAGAATGCCTAAGAAAAGGGCTTCCCTATGAGGGCAGCACTTACCTAAATACAGAAAGTCTGCACCACTGCATAGGACAAACTTGCCTGATATTTGGGGGGGGGGTAGGGGGTGGGGGGTGTGTTATTTTTAACTTCCCACTCACTGGGAAGGAGGAAATCTATCCCAGTTCTGTAAATCATTTAACCACGCACCCATGGCTGTGCAGGCACAAGCAGCAAGGAATTACACTTTCTTACCTGCAGAGAACACTCAAAAGACACAGGGACAGTAGGAAAGCATGGACTGACTTCTCTCACCTGATGTGATCCTGACCATAGAGCAGCCACACATTACAGCAAGAATTAACTCTTCCTTTTGATATCCAAGGTGAAGAACCCAGTCCCGAAACACCAGCCATAGAACTCAATCCCTAGTCTCCCACTTGTTTGCTAAAGTATATCAAACTTTGTCAGAAATGTATTATTTTAGGTAAATATATGGCTGAATGAACATATTACTATGCTTCCCAATAAATGAAATTAATTAGAAAATTGGTCAGAGTGGGGAAGGTGAAACCAAAAGAATAAGCACTTCAATAAAATCTGAATATAGGGTATATTAAAACATCCTTACAAGAGACCCAGGCATTTCAATAGTTTTTAACATTTCACTGCAAATCCTCCTCACTAAAACAAGATTCAAACAATGGTACAATAAAAATGAGCCAGGAAACTGATTCATTGTTCACATAGAAGAGAGAATGCTTAAAAATAATTGTTGTATTTCTTCCCAGCCCTCCAGAATTTGTCATCTTAATCAACCTGAACTGCCTTAGCTAAATTATATTATAACTTGCTTCAGTAGTGACTCCTAAACCAATTATTACTTTAAGATAGGTTCAATACCCACTATTTAGGAAACAAAGACAGTTATTATAACTTCACACCAGAACTCACATCAAAACAAATGCATACATTTTAAATAGGGAATGGTAGATTAACACTGTGGACAAAAACCCCACACATGCCAAAGCTCAAGATTAATGTTCATTACTAAAAAGATTTTAAATTCCTATTAAGAACATTAAAATATAAGAAAAGCAACTATAAGAACAGAAATAAATCCCAACCTATAATTTTTAACAGAGAAATTTTTTTCTTCTAGTATCACATTGATATTCAGCTGGGTTGGTTTCTTTGCTTGTTTGGTTTACACATCTTGCTGCTTTCACTAAAAGTACTATTGATCTTCAGTAACACGGTATCACATTGCCACTTGTTCAAGAAACATCCCTGTTGAGGTTCCTTTCTTAGAGAGCTTGCAATTTCCATTAAGCGTTCCAAGCACTTAAATTGTTCACAATTCCAAAGAGGCAAGCAACTGATAGCTGACTATCTAAGCTGATGGATAAGGAGCCATTTGGGTTTGTAGATATGACAGTGCCCCTCACATAAGAGTTTAAGAATACCTTTGACAAAAATTTTTTTAAACATCAACTTATTCCTAAGTGGAACACTTCACTGAATTTTTACCATTTTAAGGGTGCTTGCTCCCTGCTAAGCAAAAAATAAAGCAAACTGAAATGCTGACATTCTAATTAACAGCACTTGAAGTGACAAAACCTAGAAAATAATTTATGATATTTATGTTAGATACCATTGATCAACTCTTACCAAAAAAGCAACCTCTACCATGACCAAATCATGGTCCATTTAAACCCCAATAAACAAGCCACTAGTTCGGTTTCTGCAGTGAAGAGATACATACACTAACTTTTCTCATTCCAGCTCCTTAATCCAGCCAATACAAATTCCTGGATTGCTCCTCCTCCTAAATGTGGTTTAATGTTTTAATATTTGAACCAAAAATTTTAAGTGTTCACATCAATTTGTTACATGAAGCAAGCCAACCATAACCTCTGTTTTTTGAGTTGTCAGCTGCATATATTTAAAAAAAAATAAAATCACATGAGCAATACAAAACCTTGAACTTATTCTTATTCATCATTGAAATTACGCAAAGACAGGGAAGCTCAGTATTTTCTACCTTTCCAGAAGGCTATTGAGTTCATTTACATATATTAAAGAACTTCATTGCTCAAGCAATGAAAGACCTGAATGGAAGTTTTGTGTTTCTGTTTACCCTAGATCCCAAATAACAATTCCTCAATATGATTAGAAGAGGTATGTTTTTAATGTATGATTAATGTAT